TTGCGGAGGATCAGTGTGAAAGTAGCCTTAGTCTACATCCTGCTAATTGCAAGTCACTATATAGCTGATTTTATTTATAACTTTTACTTTTAGTAATTACATCTGGAGTACATTAAAAAACAATACTTCAATAATATTTCTTCTTTGTGATGTTCTGTGTTTTATTTTATGATCTCATATGCAAGCTAACATGTGTAAAGTTGGAATCTCTACATTTTGTTATATATTTATATGTATTATAGGTAACATACCTGTTGATGAGGTGGTTCGATCCAGTCTACACCTACATTCAAACTTTATGAGCCTTGTGGATGATCAGGTAGTTTTGCTTGAACATAACGATGATGACATGACTGAAGATTTGGTGAACAAACGAGCGGTCACATTTCTGATGGGCGCTTCCTACAGAAACCAGCTGATTAATATTTACATAAGGCCTGCTCTGGTTGTATTGGCTTGTAAACTGACAAAGACTTTCAAGAAAGGTAGGATCTAATTTCTTACACAGGTGATGACCACATGCATTCTTAAATGGACTTAAAGAATGAATCCAATCAAAATAATCCAATTTTGGTAGGAATTTGAGGCAGGATTCAGATAAAAAGTAATACATAATTGCTGTGCTTAAAGTGGTAGTAAACTTGTTAAAAAAAAGTTTCCTTCTGCAAGGTAATATCATAATGTGCTAGTATGAATTGCATACTATCACATTATGAAAGTTTTACCTTAGAACAAAGCCCTTCAGCAGTGCGCTGACACTGGTACAGAAGGCTTCCATCTTCACCCGGTTTTCCTTTGCCGGCTGTGGCTGCTTGAATGGCCGAGCCGCAACGATGTCACTCCTGCACAGGAGTTTCAGCCATGGGACACAGCTCTGAAGGAACGGCGTGGGCATGCCGTTCCTTCATAACGTATGTGCTTGTATTGTCACCGTATGCTGCTCGGTGAACATTTAGGAGATATTCATATTATTTACAGGGAGGCCTTTTTATAAGCTTACCTGTAGGTAAAAATATACAAAGTGACTTTACTACCACTTTAAATGGTGTAATTGAACCACTTCTGCACCTTGCATCCGTTTATGAGAACGGTTCAGTTAGAAAGAAAACTTTGAAACAGCTACTGTACATACAATGTACTACATTCACAAACATTTCACAAACATAAGCTTTCAAAATCTATTTAAAGGCTAACTAAAATCACATAAGTAAACATTAAAAGAGAAGTTCAGGAATTTAAAAAAAAAACATACATACTCACCTAGGTGGAAGCAGCAATGACCCGGAGCAGCATCTATCCACCACCACCTCTAAGATCAAGAACTGAGCAATCAAAGACGTCTTCAGTGAGCAGAGAACTGGTGATTGTCAGTCACTGGCTTTCTACGCTGATCCTCCAGCTTCTGTGGAGCGCTGGGCTGTGGAGGGGAATGGGAGTGGTTGGCTCAGGCTCTGAGCACAGCACTGAGTGGCTGAGCCAGTTGCTGGTCCAGGCATCTGACTGGATCCTAACCAGGGGCGGACTGACCATTTGGAAACTCTCGGCACTGCCCAAGGGCCCGGGGTCAGTAAGGGGCCCCATAAGATGCCCCTGGTACCTTTTTCATAGGCTTTTTTGAGTTTGGGCAAGGAAACAGGGGCCCCATGATCCAATATTGCCCGGGGGCCCCATGAGTTGTCAGTCCGCCCCTGATCCTAACTTTAAATTTAGGATCTCTCCAGAGCCTGGACTGGCTCACTGACATCAGTCAGCAGCAGGCCTTAGCCCACCTTCGGCTGAATATGGGTCACAAGAGTGCAGAGCTAAGTGCACTCCTTTGACCCACAGGACAAGTAGGAGCAAAAAGAGCTTTGGCCTTACTTCTCTTTTAATTTACACTCACTGGCCACTTTATTAGGTACACCTTGCTAGTGCCAAGAACATATCCCCCACACCATACAAAGTAGGATGGATCCATGCTTCCATGTTGTTTACACCAAATTCTGTCCCTACCATCTGAATGTCACAGCTGAAATCAAGTCTGCCCATTCTCCTCAGACATCAACAAGGCATGTTCGTCCACACAACCACCACTCAATGGATATTTTCTCCCTAGAGATGATTGTGCGTGAAAATCCAAATAGCTCAGCTGTTTTTTAAATACTCAGACCGGCCCGTCTGGACCAACAACCATGCCACATTCAAAGTCACTTAAATCCCCTTTCTTCACCGTTCTGATGCTTGGTTTGAACGTCAGCAAGTTGTCTTCACCATGTCTACATGCCTAAATGAGTTGCTGTCATGTGATTGGCTAATTAGAAATTTGTATTATCAAGCAATTGAACAAGTGTACTTAATAAAGTGGCTGGTGAGTGTAGATAGACGTTGTATGAACAACCTCCATTTTGATAGTCTTACTTCCACTTGGCACCAGTCCAATAAGCATTAGATTTTGACAATGCTAAATTGCACTTCCCAGTTGATCACACCTGGTTATCTCCTCTATTTTTAGACATTTTTCATCGAAAAACAGTTACAAATCATGATATACAATTGATCATCCAGAAACAAAGCTAAAACATTACTGCTTAGGCTACGTTCACACCTATGCAGGTTGTGTTTTATCCGTTTATTCATTGTGTTTTTGCACTTGCGTTTTTGATGCATTTTTGATGCTTTTTTTTTATTTTCCTTGTTGCTAGGCAGATTTAAAATGCATCAAAAACGTGGCAAAAACACAGCTAATAAGCAATACATTCTTTTCTGCAGCGTTTCCATTTTAGTCTATAGAAACTAAAATGCAACTTTTTGCGTTCCAAAAAGTCCCTGACCCTTTCCAAAGAACGCACCGGGTGAAATTGCACAGGTGTGAACATGTCCCATAGGAAATCATGTTAAATGGACTGTACTGCGTTTCTGCAAAGCGCTGCAGAAAACGCTTGGGTGTGAACCTAGGGTTAGAATGCCCTGGTATGTTATTCTGACAAGCTATTGCTGCTTTCAGGTGCTGGTTGGTATTTAAGCTGATCAGGCTCAATTTAAGACTACAACAAAATTTCACCCTCCTGCCCACTGTTAAAGCATGCTCATGGTCACAAACTATGTAAAAGTGGCTTCAGCTTGTCCTCCACCCATGGAAGAACCCCCTCTCCAAGTGTTTCACCCAGTTTGGGGCTTATTAGGAAATCTGTGTGGTTCCAGCAACACAGTGGCTAAATGGTTATCACTTCTGCCTGGCAGTACTAGGGTCATTGGTTCAAATTCCAACCACGGCACCACCTGCCTGGAGTTTGCATGTTCTCCCTGTGCCTGCATGGGTTTCCTCCAGGTCAGGGGCGGACTGACCATTTGGAAACTCAGGTACTGCCCGGGGTCAGTAGGGGGCCCCATGAGATGCCCCTGGTACCTTTTTCATAGGCTTTTTTGAGTTTGGGCAAGGACACAGGGGCCCCATGATCCCCTATTGCTCGGGGGCCCCATGAGTTGTCAGTCTGCCCCTGCTCCAGGTACTTCGGTTTCCTCCCACACTCCAAAGATATGCTGGTAGGTTAATTGGTTTCTATCTAAAATTGGCCCTAGTATGTGTATGTATGAATGTGAGTTAAGGACCTTAGATTGTATGCCCCTTGAGGGTTAGGGACTGCAGTGAATGTACAATATATATATATATATATATATATATATATATGTGTGTGTGTGAAGCGCTGTGTAAATAATCATAATAAATAATAAATAAATAAATTTACTCTATATTCAATGTCAGCTCTTTATAAAACTTTAGAAATGCTGGAGCTCTTGCTACTGTGGGACATATACAGTAAGAATGCCGAAAAGTATCAGCCTTTTTAGAAATGAATTGAAAACATATTAAAGTCCCAGGGGCTATTTTAAAAAGGAACTAGTTTAACAGTTATTTATCCTACCACTGTCTCCAAATGGAACCCAGTCTCAGCTGATCCGGTGGATGCCTACAGGATTCAGTAATGGAACTGTAATGGAACTATTGACTGTAAAGGACAGCTGCAGTCCGGAACTAAGCCCAGAATCTAAACTATTCAGCTTCTGGGCTTCTGATAGTGCTACAGAGCTCTCAGGTACATTGGTCCAAAGTGGAAAAAGTGCAACACAATACTTTTGCATTGTGTTTAAAATGGAGATTTTATTACCTTACCCCAATCAGGCCCCCTATATTAATGTTGTCTGAGATAACCAAAGAGTTATTCATTAATAATATTCTAACTGTATCATCTTTGTTTCAGATGATGTTTACAAATCATTTACGTTTCTGCGAAAAGTTCTTTCTAGAGAGTTCATATTTTTCCCCGGAAGTGAAGAGCAGGTAAGGCATAACAGGGTTGATTTACTAAAAATAAATAGGGTATTTTAATTTAGAGAAGGTCATGAAAATTTACCATGAAAACAATACCTAATCAAGTGCTATGAAAAAAAAATTAAGGATTTTGTAACTTGAACATGATTGGATGAAGTCAACAGAGTTTCATCTGTGAAAATCCCCTTGCAAACAACCTATTTTCATTTCCAATACATCTATATTATCCCATCCATAAAATCCCAATACATCTATAATATATTTCAGCATTTAGTTTAAATAATAACTACTTGCTCTTTAGAGGATTTACCCCCCTTCTTGACCAGGCCATTTTTTGCAATACGGAGCTGCGCTACTTTAACTGACAATTGCACGGTCATGCAACACTGCACCCAAATGAAATTTATGTCTTTTTTCCCACAAATAGAGCTTTCTTTGGTGGTATTTGATCACCTGTGTGTTTTTATTTTTTTCCCTATAAACAAAAAAAGACAGACAATTTAGAGAAAAAAACAATATTTTTGACTTAAAAAAAAATGTAAAAATCAAATTTCGTCATAAATTTAGGCCAAAATGTATTCTGCTACATGTCTTTGCTAATATAATATACCAATACATGTAAATTAATTGGTTTATGTGAACGTTAAAGTGTTTACAACTGGCAGTGTATATACTGCAATTGTTTTTTTACTAGTAATGGCGGCGACCAGCGACTTATAGCGGGACTGTGGCAGGCATTCTGACACTGGGAGAAACTGACTTGGTTTCACTGACATCCCCAGTGACACCAATACTGTGATCAGTGCTAATAAAAAGCACTGACACTGTACTAATGGCACTGGGCAGGCAGGGGTTAACATGTGGGGTGATCAAAGGGTTAACTGTGTGCTGTGTGCTGTTTCACTACTTGGGCTGTGTATACTTCACTATAAGCACACTGCTTTGTATGGCTCTGCTATGCTATCACTGAGTACCGGCGAGTATTCACCGGCCGGGACCCGGTGATTGACATCCGAGGCCTCGAATGGTGGCGCTGGTAGGGGGTGCATGCGCCCCCTACCCGGAACTGCAAAGTCACATGTATATATATGTGATTTTGAGCACCGATGCCGCCCTGTAGCAGTATTTCTGCTATAGGGCGCCGCAGAACTGGTTAAAATGGTTCTAAAACCTAAACATTTTTTACCTTAATGGATTGCCTGCATTAAGGTAAAACATTTTTAGGTAGAAGTATCACCCCCTCAACCCCCCCTCATACTTAACTGAGCCCTCACTTGATCCAGCACTGTGCCTGTCTGTAGTGGTTCCCATTTCTCTCCCTACTCTCACCGGTTTTGCAGAGGTCATTGGTTACCACCACTGCAGTCACTTAAATCCTGTAACAAGGAAGCCGAGGCAAAGTGTGTCTATGGAAGTAGGCAGCAAGACTCGGGATCAATCCAGCATGAGTGCCCCCATAGCAATGCTATGGGGGCAATTATAAGGGAGGAGGAGATAGGAGAACCAAAAGCACACCCAAGAAGAGAATGATCAGGGCTGCTCTGTGAAAAAACCATTGCACAGAGCAGGTAAGTATAACATTTTTGCCATTTAAAAAAAAAAAAGACTAACATTTATTAATTTGCAACAGCACTTGAAAAAAAAAAAAGAGTTAAAGGAAACCTGTACTGAGAAAAATATATTGGCTGTCAATGTTGACCTCTCTTTCTGAAAATGCTTTTTGACTAGAGGTTATATACTAATGCTTTAGCTTCAGCATTTACTAACCTGGAACAAGTATAGAGATAAGGGTTCAAAAAAAGCTCCTAGCAGCAGCGTCTAGAGTTCTTTTTTCTGCCTCTATGTGTACATGCACACTTTGTAGCCTAGAGGCGTTTTTTAGGCTCTTTGTTTAGGAGCAGAAAAAAACGCTCTGGTTGGTGTTTTTGAGAGGGATTTTCCAAACTGCTCCTACAGGATATTACTGACACAAAAAAAAAAAAAATGCAGCAAAAAATGCTAATATCAATGTTTTTTATCCAGCGTTTTTCTGCCATTTCTTTAAGCTCTTAGTGTGCATCAGTTGCTGTTTGTTTGTTCCCTCTGACTCCAGCAGGGCCTTGGATAAGGGGGTACCACCAGTTCTTCTATAAGGGGCCAAGGCCAGCATGGGGACCCAGACAGCTGGGTGAATCGGATGTGGACAGGGAGGGTGATTGGCATAGTGGGGGGGAAGGGGCAATTACTGGAACTGAACCCACCCTGCCACGTTGATCACCCTCCTTGTGCACCATACATTTCTCCCTGTTGCCCAGCCCCCCACCCCCATGTGCCCCCACCCCCACATTGGTGACAGCTTCCCTCCTCTCCCCCCCACCAGCAGCTGCAAGCACACAATAGGATCCTTCAGGATGGTGAGAGAGGGAAGGGACCGGTGAATACTGTATGTAACATTTACCAGCCCCTTTCTTTCCTGAGTGAACACAATGAGTGATCGGTACCGATTGCTCACTGTATTCATTCATAATTGCAATTCTATGCATAAAGCAAAGAAAACTGTTTTTTTTTAGGGCAGGGGGCCCTGTCAGGTTGGCTAATATGGGGCCCTGTGGTTTCTAACAGCATCCCTGGACCCAAGACGGGATTGAAACCAGGCATAGTCAGGTAACTATTAAGTGTAATATTATGTAATGGAGCACAGAGCAGAATATCAGCCCTGGAGCATCCACCTTTCAAAACAACAGCTCCAATATTTCTTTCTAATTTTAGAATTGGAAAACAATCCATCAGGTTTGTTTTAATGTGGGTCATTTAAAATTGGTCCAACAGCTGTTTAGCATATATTTGTTTGTAAGCATATGTGACAAACTGCGTTAAACAAACGCATACGTGTTTACCAGAATAGCATATGTACAGATAATTCAATGCATACTTTCAACTCATTTCTTGTAGGACTTTGAAGAAGGCTGCTTCTTGCTTGGCAAATATAATGCTGTCCACATTACATCAAATGAAATGATATCACCTGACTCCAGCGTGACTCTCTTTTTATTCAGAATGTTGCATCCTCTTCTGGAAGGCTACCAGGTATAGAAATGCTCCATGTGGTGCAACTATAGTCTATATCTGGCTACATACTTAGAGACATCAGTGTAAAATATTTATATAGAGAGAATGAAAACACACAGGATTGAATGCTATTGTTATGAAGAAATGATTGTATAAATGGTAATTTCCCATGTAAGCAATGGTTTACTTTAGACTAGACAATGCTTTAGTGGATTCATATTGATGCATGCTTCTTTTTGTCCAGTTAGCTTGCAACTACCTTTCACAGGATATGTCTGAGAGTTTCACAGAAAAACAATATATGTCTGGTATGAGATGTTTTGTCTCCCGCACTATTGCAACAGGTATGTAAAATGTATGAGAGTATAAAAAATACAGTGAGCGCTCCAATGGTCAGCAGCTGAACAGTCAAGGAAAACACATAAAAGTCCCAAAAATATATATATAAAGAAAATGCAGCGCTGTGTGATGTTACTATATTGCGGGCAGATATAAATAATAAATGAAACTAAAGCAAATGAATAAATAAATCACTAAATAAATAAATCACAGTCCAGTAATGGTGCTCGCTGATTCCCAGTGTAAAAGTTAGAAATGCGCACTAACCAGAAACGTATTAATAATACGCTTGTGTATATGATATCGTGGAGATTCCCATCTCTTTTCTGGTCTGGTAATGGGCAGGAGCTGGAGATAGTAGAGGAGGAATTTTCCACTTCACACACTTCTGTAAGGATTTCTGTGACCTGCTGGACCTCCATTTCGCCACACGAGGGCGCTTCATCTCTACTATCTCCAGCTCCTGCCCATTACCAAACCAGAAAAGAGAGGGTAATCTCCATGATATCATATACACATGCGTATTATTAATACGTTTCTGGTTAGTGCGCATTTCTAACTTTTGCACTGGGAATCAGCGAGCACCATTACTGGACTGTGATTTATTTATTTATTGATTTATTTATTGATTTATTCATTTGCTTTGGTTTCATTTATTATTTATATCTGCCCGCAATATAGTAACATCACACAGCGCTGCATTTTCTTTATATATGTAAAATGTCTGGTTTACAGCAATGGAACAAAAAACAAAACATTGTGTATGGAAGAAGACGTGGTATTTGGGGATCTGAAAATGAAAAACGGATAGTATGAATATGTTGTATTAGTTTTAATGAAGTGTCTCTAAATGTTATTGGTGTTTCTCCCTGAATGATATTTGCATTTCACCCTGAGCCTGGGTTCACACTGATGCGGTGTGGAATTCGCACCGGTTTCTGTGCAATTCTGCACCGCATCATAGTCGCACCCAGTTCATGAGAACCGCTGCGGGTGTGTGTGTTAGGGTAACAACACCCCGGAATCAGTTCATAAATTGCAGTGTGATGTGCACAATCGGATTGCATGGGTGTGAATACCCATGCGATCCGATTCTAGTGCAGACAAAAAAAGGGTCCTACACATTTTTGGTGCGGATGCAGTGCGATTTGAGCCATACAAAATGTATGGCTTAAATTGCACCGCACAGTATTCGCATGTGATTTGCACTGGAATGTGGTACGGTTCCTGTGTGAATCGCATGCGATATGCCGCACCGCAGAAGTGGAACCCAGGCTACATGTTATTTGTATTTTGAGTGACCTTGGTAGAGTAGCCAACAGGGAGGCAGTGTAGATAAAGATACAATTTGCATCTACAACTGTTTTTGTTACGTTTTTGGGGTTGTATTTGATATGTGCAAAGGTAGATCAAACAAATACTTTTAGTGTAGCATTTAATTAAAGGAGAAGTACAGCCAAAGCACTTTTGGCTGTACTTACCCTATGGATCACAGGAGTGCAGTTCATTCTGCACTCCTGTGACCTGTTTTCAGCTAACAGCAGGCTGAAGCCCACTGTCCAGGTTGGGGAAAGATCCCTACTTTAAAGTCGGGATCCATCTCAGAGTCTGGAGCGTCACCTGGCTCAGTCTGTCAGCGATCTGCTGAGAACCTGAGCCAACCGCTCCCTCCCCCTTCACAGCCCAGTGCTCCAGTGAGCACTGGGAGAGGGGGCAGAGCAGACGGCAGTGACTGACAGACACCCCTCTCTGCTCACAGCGGCAGTGAAAACTCAGAGATCAGCGGTCATGTGATCGCTGAGTTCTCACACTTAGAACCGACAGGGGACAGATGATCAGTACCCTGATGATCAGTGTACATGTCCCCTCTGAGGAATTAAATCCTGCTAGATCACTTCAGACTGGCTCCTGTTTAAGATATAGCTATGTACAATATTAAAAATAAGTGCCTATACTGTTTAAAATCCAGTAATACACTGTCTCACCCTGCTCTGCACATGCTCAGTTGCTCTCTGTTTTTAGGCACTGTGCTGAATTTGTAGAGGCCAATCTGCTGACAGCCTACAAATTTCATGCGGCTTAAGCAAAATGGCAGCCTCCAGCTAGAAGAAACAGGAACATTGCTGGAGGCAATTTACAGCACACACTAATTTTGGTAGCATCATTATTATTGTGGAATAATTAATTGCTATGTGGTCTTTCTCTACTGCACACACTCCAGTGATCTGCCCTAACAAGCATATAACCAAAAAGGTTGATGGTGTTCTCATGGAGGTTACTCACAGGCAGTTACATTTTCTAGATCTCAGTTTGAATTAAGAGGGGTGACTCACCATCCTATGTTGGTGGAAACCTCGGTTTGTCAAACTGTTTCACAATGGGCTTAATGTCTTATTGAGGACTACTCCATCAAAAGGCAAGCCCTGGTGTCATGGTACATTTGAATTAATGTCTGGAGTCCTGTGCTTTAGCTGTGAGG